AAAATATGTATATAATAAAAAGTATTATTGAAGTTGAACGTGCTGAGAAGACTTAAACAGGAAGAGTATGCAGTGAAAATTTAGGCAAAAAAAAAAAAATTGTACGTATAGGAAAATACATATTTAATTGGAAATAGAATGTGCCACGAAAATTCGGGCAAAGAAATTTAAAGAAAAGAATGGAGGAGCTGAAGAGGCTTAATGCAAAAAATGCTACTGAAGTAAGACGACGCCAAAATGATGCAAAGATATAGAATGCTACTGGAGTAAAAAAGACGCCAAAGTGATTTAAAGTAAAGAGTGCTACCAGTAAGAAAAACGCCGAAGAGATTCAAGAAAGCAAGAATAAAACAAGCGTCCAAGTCAAAAGCCTTTTATTCAATTTATTTTACTCTCTACTTTCGTTTAGATGATAGATCAATAGTTTACGCACCTCACCTGACGACCAGAATCAGAGGTGCGTCAGCTGTGATTTGAGGCAAACGTTAGTCTGAGGCACAACATATATAGTGACAGTTGTGGGAAAATTTGATGTATTTATATTTTATCAAAGTAACGTCTAGTACCGAGCACGTATTTTGTTGAGTTGTTCAACAACATAAGAAACAAGAATGTTCTCCCTCTGATGAAAACGGGAAATACTACTTTCGCGTTTTGACGCACAAAAAAGCACGTAAAATTAATTTTTTCAGTAATTTTGGTCGCGTGAATGATGTTTTAATAGATCTGGTGTGCAGTTCTGAGAATATTGGAGGATTTCTAGTGGGTTTAAATGATTCAATTTATGCACCTAGGATAGTTAAACGTTACTGAGATTATCCTATTTATGAGCTGGTTGAATCAAAAAATCCGAATATTTGAAACATAATATTATTACCAAATTTATTATTATTCATAGATTTACTCGAGTATTATCAGCTGTTCAAGTAAATTATTACGTGTTTTGGGTAGAACTGAAAAATATACTTGTAATAAAGAAAAATAATTGTTTTTCATCTAAATTCGAAACATAAAGTTTATACTAATTTATTATGTAATTGTAAGTTGAGGTATAATATTTGTCATATTTTGTGGAACTCACTTTACTAGTCTTCTTATTTGTAAATTTGCAAGAAAGTCTCGGAGATTAAAATGAGTTCGCTCTTTTCTAACTATGTATATATGTGATCAATGAATGTTTTGTAAGGCCTAACAATTGACGAATACCATTAATTACTGTATAATAGCATAAATGCGATGTCTAGTAATCATCATAATTCATGAAAATTCGAACACATTAATTTGATATGAGCGATAATTGGAATCGCCTAAAATTTCTTTTAACATATACACGTAATAAATCGTTTGTGTTTAAAATTTGATATTAATACTATTCTCGATAATTTTGGCCAAATGATCATAATTTTACCCAAAATTATTAAGAATTTCTACTCACTATAAGTAAAGAATAAGGCTTACAAGAATTGTAAATGGGCTGTCAGGATTGTGAAATTGCCATAATTTAGAAATTTTACTACAAATACCGAACTGTCAGTAACTTTACCTGGTAAATTACCATATCTCAAACCAGACCCAAGCTCGTATGTTAATAAATACATCTTTCCGAAATGTTCATCCTATATTACTCAATTCTTTTCTCTGGCTTAATGCTAGTCAGAATTAACATTAAAGCAATTTATTTATTTTTTTTTATTTTTTATTTTTTTAAGAGGTCTTTTCCTCATTCCTTAATTTCGTATAAAATATGATTTACAATTTCTTGTGAATGATACATTAACTTTCTATGGAAGGGGGAATAAAGCTATAGCTACTGCTAATTTACTTACATTAAAGCAATTTAATAATTTATCGAAGTGTTTATCGCCTAGAACTGTTTATAGTATTCGGAAGGGTCGTAGGTTACTATAAAATTTGATGGTAAATTACCAAATTACTATTGGGATTGCTGCGTTAAGACAAAAGACCCGGAAAAGCTTATCGGTAACTTACCAGCAAATATTAAAATTACAGTCAGACCTCTTTTAAATGCATTACAACGGGACCATATATAAAAAAATTAGTTACCGTAAAATTCTTTAAATAGCGGGTATGGGCTTTATTCGAAAATCTCGCCCTTTAAAAATATAGCTGATCTCAAAATAACGCCCATACACGTCCCGAAATAACGCGCACCTGGCTATATAATATTACCGTATTGGCGCGTAATAACGCACATGGGCGTTATTTCGAATCCACTTTTTTGAAAATTGTTTTCTTTATTCAAAATAACGCCCAAAAATAACGCATCCCCTTAAAATGTACCATATTGCATATTTTCAGGCTAAGTTCATTAATAAAAGTAAGGCTTCCTCTTGTAACCCAAATTTGTCAAAGTGATTCGAATTACCGCGCATGCGCGTCCCAAAATAACGCGCAGATGCACGTTATTACGCACCAATACGGTATGTGCATATAGGATGCATATTTTTCGACATTATATGTATGAAATGAACGTCTTTATAACAAGCTATAAAGGTTTAATTTCAACATGGTAAGTCGGAAGCCCTTTTTTTTCAAATATCTTGTTCGTTATTTGAATCTGAATTAAAGTGGACTAGAATATGCGATGTACATATATGTCATAATATTCAGGTTTTTCGCATGCAAGTGAATATTTTCATGTGTCTTTAAAATAACAGGATATATTGGAAAAAAAGTTTTTTTTTTCAAAAATTAACACTTGCTATAACCCGATTAGTAATCAAAGGTTACTTGTCATTTCATAAAAATGCCGTTCATGGGAGTTATTTCTGTATTTTAAAAAAAACTGTGTTTAAAAAATCGACCTAAGGATTCAAAATAACTCGAAATAGCGGATGTCCGCTATTTCGGTAAATGTGCATTTAAGGAGGTAAAAATCTATAAGTATTATATTAGCTGGGCCTAGGTGGTGGGTGCCTTGTATTAAGCCTTATTCAAAACCTTCATTTTTAATTTGATTAATACTGGGTGTATTATGCAGTAGAATTTATTTCGTAAAATATATTTAAAAGTGCATACACGCTTTACTTTTATAATTAGAATTTTTTTTATTAAAAAAAAACCACATTTGATTAATAGAGTTTCCGTGGTCACTAAGCGGTAGATAACTTACCAGTAATTTATCGATCATTTACTGTATAATAAATTTGACCTCACACTTCTCCTTCTCTATAATCACGCTTTTTTGTATCCCGTGGGGTTTGACTGTATTTATATGAATATAAAATTTGCACATGTTATCCATTACGGCGCATTTGCATAATTTGAACGTTGACTAGAAGTATAAAGTGAGCCATTTACTTTTTTTTGACATTTCTTATTGTAAAATGATCTAGATACTGTCTAACCCATCTTTTCTGTAAAAGATGAGTTAGACGTTTCTATAAAATTTTGCAATTTTACAATACTGCAACAAATAATACTGTAATAATAATAAATGACGCACTTCATACTTAAATACACTGTAATGTCATACTACAATCAAATATTATTTGGATTCTTTCACAGCAAAACCATGCTTAGAGTATATATTTTATGTACTCTAATCATGGATTTGCTTTGAAAGAACCCATTTGAGATTTGCACGTGTTTGATGCCTGTCTGCCCGCACGCGCAGTGTTGGTCACCTTTATAAGTCCAGTAATTTCGAATTGGAATTAGACTTATACATTCCAATTAGAATCTATAAGCTCAATGTTCCATTTTATAGGTCCAGTGGAACAAAGTTGGTCCAATTGCCCAGCATTTCGCACGCATATGCTCCTTATGGAGAAATACGCTTATAAGCCAGAATTCCAGAAGCTTATATACGTGTAAATGCAGAAGGGGCACTAGGTCTCGAGCTTGGGACAAAGCTTGAGTGCACTGTACAATTAAAAAATCGATTAGGTGCAATTTTACACGTGTATGTGTATTTGTGTATATAAAATATAATAGTACAATGTATGTTTTTTTTTTTGAAAGTTACATAAATTAAAATTATATGCTCTCATTGTCCAGAGAATAGCGAAGAATATTATAGGGAGTAATAAACTAGATTTTGTGCGTTTATGCTTTCACTATCTTTAGATGAACTAAATAATTATTAGTTTATCTAATATTTAATAGATATACACTAGTTAAAATCAAAAATATCAGTAATATCAGTATCTGATATGTGACTTATACATGTATGTAAACTCTTATGTAACTTAAAGCTAGCCTATATTTTATAATTTTAATAAGCCAATATAAGCTAGCATATGAGTTACATATAAGTTATATAACAGATATAGGGTTGGTTCGGTCCGGTCCGGTCCGTCCCGGTCCCTAATAAGACCGGTCCCAATATATCCATCGGCCCGTCTGGTCAGTCCTCGGTCTCAAAAATAAACTATTTCACGTCAAAAATTAACTATTTTCACGTCAAAATAAACTATTTTTTACGAAATTAGTTTATCATTTTTAACTATCATTATCGAATAAAATTTATACAATAATGGTTTTAACTATTTAAAAGTTTAATTTAATAGTTTATTATTAACCGGTCTGAACTGATTAAAAGACTGAAAACCGAAGGACCGTTAACCAGTTAGACCGGTTCTTATCCGGCCTTCTCAGGACCGAAGCAACCCTACATGATACATGATAGCATGATACTCAGTCTCCTTATTAAATTATAATGTATATAATAGGCGTTTCTATGTACGTACATACGTACAATCCTTATCTTTAATAATGATACGTACTGTACATAATACATACGTAAGTCCTTTCAAATATACAAATTACCATTGTAGCCTTCTCATTATAAATTACCAAACTATTACATATCGCGCGTGGACCTGTATTACTATACGCACATGATTTCCTTATTACTATCCCGTTGCTTGGTCATTTAAAGGTACCACAGACCACCGGAAATGTACCAAAGGCCACCGGAAATGTTCACAGACCACTGGTAATGCACCAAAGACCACCGGAAATATACCACAGACCACTGGTAAACCACCGGAATAGCTCCAAAAACCACTGGCAATGTACTACAGACCACTGGAAATGCATCAAAGACCACTGGTAATGTACAAACAAAGACCACTGGTAAATGTATCACAGACCACTGGAAATGCTCCAAAGACCACTGGAAGTGCTCCAAAGACCACTGGAAATATATCACAGACCACTGGTAATGCTCATGCACTAAAGACCACCGGAAATGTTCCACAGACCACTAGTAATGCACTAAAGACTACTGGTAATGCACCAAAGACAACCGGAAATGTACCACAGACTACTGGAAATGCACCAAAGACTACCAGAAATGTAAATCGAGGTTAGCATTAGCTAATACTATTAACCGTTTTTTGTTAGTTTTATCGTTCGAACAGTGAAAAAATAGCATGTAACTTTTGTAAATTTAAGAATAACTCACATTATTTGATCGAAAGATTCGTAATATAAACTATATTTCATAAGACTGATAAAGAGGATTTTATTTTTTGTGAAAAATTTATTAGCGTTTTCCTTATTAAAATTTCTGTACTCCCATGTTTTGATTTATTTTATAGAGTATACTGTATATATTTGCTTACTGTTTTAATATATTAAGTAAATGCAATTTTCACTCTATCATAAATTATTCTTAACTAATTCTCAAAGCCCCCTGCATTAACGCGATGCTTTATCTTGTTTTTATTTATTGATAGCTTGCCAAATTACGCACTATTCGTTAGGAGTAGCTAGTGTAACAACCATAGTTTCCGATAATGTTTGTAGGCTGTCTGTATACTACGTATGTAACCACCATAAATAAATAAAAAAAATAGTAACAGCAAATTGTGATTCATATTCATATTTTTTATTTTTTGATTGAAAATGTCAACCGAAAATTTGACTGAATTGATCGATGATTTCAGCAAACTGAGTTTCAACAATTGTCAAAAATCAGCAGATATGAACGAACCAGACGGAAGTTTTTGGCTCGGTTATTGTTACGAATATGGAATTGGAGTTGAAAAGGATGAAAACAAAGCATTCACGCATTATCAAAAATCGGCAGATATGAATAATTCTAACGGAATGTATCAAGTTGGTTATTGTTATAATTTAGGAATTGGCATCGGAATCGATAAGCAAAAAGCGTTTAAATATTATCTGAAATCTGCCGAGGCTGGTAATTCCAATGGAATTCGGAAAACTGCTATTTGTTACTTTTATGGAATTGGCGTGGAGGAGGATAAATATAAATTTTATGAATGGTATAAGAAGTAAGTTAATTTTTAATTTTTTTATTATAATAATTTGTAATTTCTTTATTTGAAATTGGGATTTCTTATACAATTTTTAATTATTAGAGAGTAAGTGTGAAATGTATTCATCAATTTAAATCGGCGATTAAAGTTCATAATTATTTATTTATCGTTGGTTATTTTAGCCCGTGAGTATAAAAGAATTTAATAATCTTTAGAAATAAAACAAGTTCACAAAACAAGAAAGATCATAAATAAAATATTTACCATTCGTTTAAATTCATTTCATTCGCATTAATCATTTTATTCAGCTCGTGAGTATAAAGAACATTTATTAATCAGTGGACTTAAAAACAACAAACCAAGTTCACAAAACAAGAACATAAATACTTATTTACCATTACGTTTAAATTTATTTCATTTGTATTAATCATTTTATCCAGTGTGTGAGTATAAAGAACATTTATTAATCAATGGAATTGAAAACAGCAAAACAAGTTCACAAATCAAGATCATAAATACTTATTTGCCATTACGTTTAAATTCATTTCATTCACATTAATCATTTTATTCAGCTCGTGAGTATAAAGAACCTTTATTAATCAATGGAATTAAAAACAGCAAACCAAGTTCACAAAACAAGATCATAAATACTTATCTACCATTACGTTTAAATTCATTTCATTCGCATTAATTTAGTCGGTGAGTATAAAGAACATTTATTAATCAATGGAATTAAAAACAGCAAAACAAGTTCGCAAATCATGAACTTAAATACTTGCTTATCATTACGTTTAAATTCATTTCATTCGCATTTATCATTTTATTCAGCCCGTGAGTATAAAGAACATTTATTAATCAATGGAATTAAAAACAGCAAACCAAGTTCACAAAACAAGATCATAAACCATTACGTTTAAATTCATTTCATTCGCATTAATCTAGTTAGTAAGTATAAAGAGCATTTATTAATCAATGGAAATAAAAACAACAAAAAAATTCACAAAACAAGATCATAAATACTTATTTACCATTACGTTAAACTTCATTTCATGCATTAATCATTTTATTCAGTGAGTGAGTATAAAGAACATTTATTAAACAATGGAAATAAACAGCAAAACAAGTTCATTCATACTTATTTACCATTACGCTTAAATTAATTTCATTCACATTAATTTAGTCGGTGAGTATAAAATTATTTATTTACATTCAATATAAAGTTTAAAATTGCAGTTGTGAAAAAAAAATTAAATATTTATTATATAGAGATTCTAAATATGGAAAATGTGCACATTGTAATGAAGATAACACTTATAAAGCATGGTGTGTATCATGCGACCCTGACATAACAACAAGGTGGACAATTGGAAATAAAGGTATTGATGATTGCATGAAAACATTTCAACTTAGAGCCTGGAGTTATGAAGATGCGATTGAATGGATTCTATTTAATAGATTATCCGATGTTAAAAAAATTGGTGGAGGATTTGGTTCTGTATATTCAGCAACCTGGTTGGATGGCATACGAAAAGTTGATGGTGATGATTATAATTATGTAAGAGCGCGTGAATC